ACTTCACTCATATATTTATAATCACTTTCTTAAACAGTGTTGTTAACTGTCGATGCCTTTTAGCGATGGCGTCTTTGTTCCTTGCACTTACGTGTTTATGTGTGTGTGTGTGTGTGTGTGTGTGTGTGTGTGTGTGTGTGTGTGTGTGTGTGTGTGTGTGTGTGCTTGAAAAGATTTTGTCTTTTAGAGAAATCTATTGTGACAAAATTGTATTTCATTTTTAAACTTTGGGACATTTTTCAAGTATCGCAGTTTTTCTTTGGTTGTTTTTTAACATCTTATTTTAAAGAAACTGATTGTGAAAGATTTTGTTTTATTCCAACACGTTGTAGAAGTTGTAAGGGAAAGTATTTCTAAAGATAAAAACTAATTGTGAAATAATTTTATTCGTTCTAAAAAGTGGGAAGGAAATTGTAAGCGATGGGTGGTGGGCGCAGTGTCTCGAAAAAAACAACCCCAAAAAAACATTTTAAAAATCCAAGAAAAAAACAAAGTTGGTGTAGAATCAAACGATACGTCTCTCACGAAGGTAGCACTGACACCAGTGTGGCCAGAAATCGCACAACTTAGCACTTGGGTGTCAATTTGGACTGTAAGCCCGGGCGTCCGATCCCAGCGTCCTCCCATAACAACCGGCACTTCCGGAACGACTATCCATCACGTGACACCACTCCGGAAGTCGCTCCGGGCAGGGATAGAATGCGCGCGCACACTGGCGGTGTTTGGTTACCAGTTGTTGCGTTCAAAAACCCACCGAGCAACACCGATCCAGTGCGGCTACGTCTGGACGACTCATGAATCAAACACATTGTAGGGAAATTCGACACGTCTGCAAGACGACTTGGGAGGTGAGGGTTTCTTCCTTCTCCTCCTGGCAGGACGGGTGTTCTGTTGCAGCCTGTCGTTAGCAAGGCTTAGGTGACTGGGCCCTGCTTGCTTGTTTGCTAGCGCGTGCGTTTGTTCGTGAGGTTGGAGATGTTTTCTTAGGTTTTTTTTTTTTGTTTTAAAAAGATATAATAGTCATGCCATGTGCTCTTTTCCTATTTTTTTTTTTACTTAGCATTGGAGATTAATGCTTCTTGGAGACTACTGATTTTACAAGTCTACATTTTTTTCTTTAAAATGGTTATCTATCCTGAACCATTGCAGTGCTCGTTGTGCGATGATAAGGCTCGTTTCTTTTATACGGAAAGGACATGGGTTCGATTTTCACATATTGAGATCCATTTCGGCGAGCTTCTCTGTATTTCTATAGGGATACTGCATATTTCTCAGTCCAGTTTATAGCAGTTAACCATGGTCGGAATCCCTCGGTACAGATTTACAACATACAAATCACAATGATTTTGCTTGTATTTTTCAAATAACAAAGAGCTCACAACGAGTGAAGTTGGGTTTTTATCTTTTTCATTGATTATATCGCTGACCAGATGAGCTATCTTACAAAATAGGCAGGTTCTCCCCCTTCATGATATATTTTTGATATGTTACGCACGTAGTAGAAAACTGCTCAAATACGGATGTCAGATTCTAAATTAAAAAAACAACAAAACTACTTTTTCCGCTCCCCCATGTGGAACAAATAAATTTCTAAAGAATCCAATAATTTTCCACCCACCCCA